CAGGCTGAACAAGCCCAGCTCCCTCAGCCTCTCCTCGTAGGAGAGATGCTCCAGTCCCCTGATCATCCTCGTAGCCCTGCGCTGGACTCTCTCCAGTGGCGCCTCATCTTTCTTGAGCGGGGGAGCCCAGAACTGGACACAGTACTCTGCGCAGGGGGTCTGCAGCCGGCTCCCTGCATTGTTTCCTCCTCTGTCAGACGGCGGGGGCTCAGAATGTCTTTTGGATATCACACGGAAGTCACTGCTGTGTTCCAGACACCCTGAGCAGAAAGTGCTGTTCTGATCTGTGACAAGGCTCTGTCAGGGAGCCCAGAGGGATCCCAACTTTTTTTGCTGGTTTGCTGCTTTACAAGTGCGGTGGTTTGTTCTGATGCTGCTGTTACTCCCTGGTAATCACCACTGTGATTCTCTCTCCCCTTCTAGTTAGTTGTATTTGTTTTGAATTCGATTTCCCTGCCGATACGATATCAGCTTGCAGTTTTTCCCAAAGTGAGTCCCCTTTTGTTCTCACTGCTCTTTCTGAACACCCTTAAAACATTTCGGTCCTCACAGCTTTTCTAGCTTCTGCAGAACTCCTCGCTGGGAGGGTGGCCCAGCCCTGGGCGGGCTGCCTGGGGGGGCTGTGGAGTCCCCGTCCTGGAAGATGCCCCAGACCTGACGGGGAAGGCCAAGACCCCGAGCATGACCAGCGCCGGTCTTCTCTCCCTGTAGAACTGCAAGCACTCAGGGCACGGCTGGGCTGGCAGAAGACCATTCCCTGCTCGTGCTGGTCGGTTTTCTTGCTGGTCTGGCTGGCCAGCTGCTGGTTTGCCTCAGCAGTAGTGTGGAGCATCATCCCTCTCCTCGCTCATCAGTCCGGAGCGCTGTGACCGTGAGCAAGCGGGCACAAGGGGTCACGTTGTGGGGAGTCCCAAGTTCTCAGAGGACAACAAGGTCCACCCGGCTGCTGCTGCTGCTTCCAGGGCAGACCCTGGGCCAGCTGCAACCCAAGGCGAGGTGCCAGTACCCGGCATCCACCGTCACTCCTGCTGCTGCTGGAGAACTTTTGTGGTTTTTTTGCTCACGTCTGAAGAATCGTTACTGCTTTTTCCTTTCCCTAACTTCATCCAGTTTGTGCCAATCTGCTCATCCCCAGCTTTCCGTAAAGGTGCTGGTTGCGGTGAGGGAGGGTCGCTCAGCCTTGTCCTGTAGCCCGGAGTGAAGTGGGACTGCGCAGAGCGAGTGAGTGGAGTTGCCGTGTCCCCCTGCCCGCTCCGTCCTCTTTGCGGCAGGTGCCGGGGTTAAACGCCGTGCCCGGCTGCGCGTACTTCTGGCTGGGGTGTGCAAGCGTGTAGGGGAAGGCATTGCCGTCTCTGGGGCGGTGCGTGGATATTTGCTTGTGTAGATGCATCTCAATCTGTTGGAAGAGAGTGTCTGATCATACCTTAATTAGTCCTCTAACAATCTACAAAGGTCAGTGCCAATTGCCTGTTCATTTACATTTGTAATTGTGATGGTTCTTGATTGCACATTAGCTGCAACTCGTTCCCTCCCACCCTGCAGAAAACACAGGCAGCAGCTTAAGCAACAGCCTGGTAGACACAAGGACCTTTGTCTCCGCTGTGCCAGCAGCGCAGCCTGCACTGAAACTTTTGTGTCTGTTCTGGAAGAGAGCTTTAGAAGCTACACTTCACTTCCAGTAAAGCGATGATGAAGTCGTTGGCAGGGAAATTATATGGACAACAGGCAGGAAACCCAATCCTCCTTCAACTGGATAATTAAAGACAATTAAACTTTTCTGCTTGCTCTGAGAAGTGTGCTAATTATGCAGGAGACGGGGAAGTGGGCCCAGGCTGGACGTTCAGCTGTTTTGTTGATCAGAAAGAATACAGCTTTAGGGGTGGGGGTGTATGTTCCTCTGTGGGGTATTTTTGGACATCTATTGCTGTAGTATCTGGGCTGCTGCCACTGCAGATGTCAGGTCCTTGCTGCAGAAGCATCTGTATAACGTTACCCATAAGCTAATTGATTTTTAATGATGGGGGTTTAGAGAAGAAGAAAAAAAACAAACCCATAATAAAAAAACAAAGCATTCTCAAGATGGAGG